TTTAGATCTGCCAGCTTCATCTTTGATACACAGCTGACAATGTCTAATGCACTGGACTATTTCAATTCTTCTTATTTGCAAGAGTTCCTCTATAAGAAAATCTGTTTCTCCCTCAGCTGCTCTTAAATTTTCGAGTTAATCAAGGATGCAGTTTTGTTCCCTTCTTATTTTCCCATTAGAATTTCCTTTACGTTAACATTTCATTTATTGAAAGGCAGACGACACAGCAAAGGCAAAAAGCATCATTTTCACTACAAACACTTTGTGACTGCTTTAAGGTTGGATGGCTTTTACATTTATTAAATCTAACTGATAATAAAACATTGTTTTGCTCCCAGTGAAAATCACAGTGCTTCTTGCTGGTGAAGATTCTCAGTCATCCAGGTCATAGTCATTCCCAAAAATGACATTTGGGAATTATAGTGCTTCTGATTATTTAGGTAGCCTATAGCAGTGCATAAAATGTCATGCTAATACTTGGGTTGAAACTGATTATATCTGGTTTTACCTTTAACTTTAACCCAATTCACAATTTAATTAGTCATTTAATCTGTTCAGTTTGGTCCACAGAGGTCATCATGCCTTTTCAGTTGTTGCTTTTAAAATGTGGAACCAGTTGCCCTTTATATTAGACAGGCTACTCCCAACTTTTACTGCAAGGTAAGAGTTTAATCTTTTGGGTTCTCTTTATTGTTATATTTTGTCAGGTTTTCTATTAAATTGCTTTAAATTATTGTTGTGTTGCTTTTATATGCAACACATTGGTCAGGGGAAGTTTTTCTTAAATATGATATGAAAAGAACTTTGATTTGATTTAAATACACCCTATTTGGTAAATCTTTTTCAATTAGCTGGACTACATGTTCTTTTTTTGACCCAGAACCTGTTTTTCATCCTGTCCCTGCTTGTGACACACAAGCTGTTGGACATAATATTGCACAATTAAAAGATGATGTCACATCGACTAACGCAGTAATTATGGGTACCAAGCTGAAATGTATTACAGCTATCAAGAAACATGCTTCAAATTACGTGTTTAGATCATATCTCCCTGTACTTTGATTCTTGCTAATCTAAAGTCGGAACAACAATAAAGATAATAAAGTGCCTCTGCAATGCAATGAGGGCTATTACAGGACAGATAATAGGCTCCTGGTCATAAATAAATTTTAATGCAACAAATGTACCCAAGAAGGTGAAGAGCTTTAAATGCTGAACCTCTCATATTGTATTCATATGTTGAACTCACTCTGACATCTTTTATAAAATAAAAATGAATCTTTCACAGTATAAATGTCTAAAACACCTCTGGAATTAATTTCAAAACCCCTTAGACCTTGATCTGACCCTTTTAAATATTAGAAACCCTTTGAGATCGAATTTATTCACTGCAAAATACACATAAAATAATTCATAGCTCTTCCAACTCAACAAATGTAGTTGATTTTTTTTCCCTTTGTTGTCTTTTGTGATGTTGACAAAAAAGAGCTAGATGAGACTTGCTTTCAGTGCAGAAAATTACTTTCCAAATTTTCTGTGGATACTCATGGACTAAGTCCAAGGTTTGTGTAAGAACCTGAAATAAAGGTTTGAAAGTTTCAGAATATATATTTTTTCTTTTTGTGCATTCTTCTGTGGGTCTATTTTGAAAAGAGGATGTCAAAACGAATAGAACATCAGAAAAATAAGGACAAAGAAGACTTTTATTCTTTTTTTTCTGATATAGAAATAGAGGAAAAGCTATGTCGAGAAAATGAAAAGAAAACTGGTTTCTTTAAAGGTGTAATACTGCATAGCCGTTGGTGCATTGGTGGCGTATTGATTATAAAATGTTTTTTCTTAGAATTACAGAATGAAGAAGCAATGTGGTGGCTCAGTCCCGAGACGCTCCCGTCTCTGATTATAGTGGGATATGTCTTTGCAAGTTTGCTTTGTCTTCTGTCCGTCCTTCTCAGAGAACACATTATGTAATATGTTTTGACTTATGTTCTGGATGCTTAGAAAACACAACACAGCTGCTATTTAATGAGAGCAGTAAAGATAAGAAACAGGGAGGCACTGAATGAACATGCAATAGAAATGCAAAGAAGAAAAAACTGAAATATTTTGGAATTAATGGAATCTAAAGAATAAAAAGTGTATAATTGCTGGACATAACATTTCTCCAAAGGAAAAAAAAACAGATTTAAATATATAGAGGATGAAAAACATTTATATTTATAGATTTTCTTTATTTTCTTGTCAGATTGAAATGTTTGAGATTTTCTAATTAATTTATTAAAAACAAAATATCCTCAGTTATATACAACACCACACTGGATAGCTTTTTAACATGGCTGATCTGTTTAAAGCCATGCCAGAGAATTTTAGTTAAATTTAAATCCAGACTTTGAGTGTGCCACTTCAGAATCTGTATTTTATGTTGTTTTGAGGCTTTTTAAAGACTCACTTGCTGGTGTATTTCAGATCATTTTCCAGCTCCCAAATCACAATGTCATAATTGTTTTGCTGCTCAACATCTTGTTATGTTCTATAAGGTCTTAAAGTATACGGCTCATTCTCTATATTTTTTTATGGCATTGCCATAATCGTTAGAATTCCAGTTTGTGTGGGTTGTTTGTTGTGTTTTATCTCTCCACCACCAGGTTGTGCCCTATCCTCGATGGCCCTCCCTGCACATCTTGCGGCTCGTTGGGTCATTAGCAGAGGAGTACTTTAGCAGCGGGCTGTCACCACCTCGACGCCAGAGTGTTTGCCAGTATTGGGAAGACTTCCTGTGTTACTGGATAAGCCTGGACCTTCTACCCCTGGAAGGGTCTGCTGAGTCTCAATGAGTAAGGGGTAAACATCCACATGATCCCTTCAAGTCCACTCCTGGATAACCAAGTGACAGTCCACTCCTTTACTCCTCTGGGTCCAACGTATGTCTGCCTGTCGGCTCTTCAACGGGTTTCGTCTTCTCGGTTCTGGTTCACCAGTCCACTGAGTTCCAGCAGTGTTTCCCCACTGAGTTTCAATCTCCATCAGTGTTTGCTAACCTACAATAAACCTGTTAAACTTTTACTCTTGGTCTCTGAGTGGTTCTCTGCATGTGGGTCCGATCTTTAAAGCCCATTATGACAATAATAGTTTAATTCCTTTTGCGTTTCTTTGCGTGTTTCTTTGTTTGTTCTGTTTGATCTCCTCTATTTTATTCCCTTTATGTTAATATCTGTATTTCCATTTTGATAAGCTTGTCCTGGCTGCTCTGTGTTGATTAGTTCTTTCCCTCAGACTTTCTGCTTTTCTTCTGTATCAGCTGTTCCTTGTAATCTTATGATTATCACACAGGCGTTCACCATCCTTTTCCTCATTTCCTTTAGTATTTAAGGTCTTTTTTGGCCATTGTTCTCCTGCCGAGTCATCCCATTCCACTGCTTGTCTTCTCTCAGTTACTGTCAGTGTTTCATGTTAAATCCTGTCTTATGAGGTATATATCTCCATATCCATCCTGTGTTTCAATCTGCTTTTGGGTCTGACTCCCAGCCACACCCAAAGTGGTGAAAAGCTAAAGCCTACAAAATCCCCTTCAGGGCTTCCCTATATAATTTATAAGGGACCTCTTACTGTGAAGTGCTATCACAAACCCTCCAAAACTGTCACTTTGAATGGGCCTCATGGAACAGTTTACTTGTATTAGATGGAAGAGCACTTCAGTAGTTGATTTTTTTTCTTATTTTTTTACTAGTTCCCGGAAACAAGGTGTATGCTTAAAATACATTTTCCCTGAACTCACAACATCCCAAGTCACAGTATTTTGTGGGTTTTTAACCTCACTAACAATTTATTCAAAACACTTGTATTAAAACAAGACAGACAGTGGGATTATTCACAGCGTTTAGTAAAAAATTTAGTGGATTTGTGGTAGCCGCGGCTAGGGTGTGTATAACTGGAAGCTCTGGTTAAAGAGAAACACAGGTTAGTGACCACGACAATCATACGGAGGATGATTATTCATGTGTGGCACCAACCTGGTTTAACTGTTAAGTCCATTGTCAGGGAACGAGGCAGAATCAAGCCGGTAAGCTGCCAACGAGATGCGGCGGGCGCCGCCCAGAGTGTCCCAGATGCTGTAGGAGTCCAAGCCAGGTCAGGGAAACCGATCAGAACAGGACGACTCAGAAGTCCGTGAGTTTGAAGCCCGGTCAGAGATACTGATCAGGAAAGGAAAAGGCTGGTTTAGGGTCCTAGGACTCCACAGACAGTTCAGGCAGAACGTTCAGATGGGAACGCTCAGGTCCGCTCAGGGGATAAGAGGCAGATCAGGATGAGAAAATTAGAACCATTTAAGAACTCTAAAAATCCTCTTTCCATTGGCCTCTGAGAACAACATAATCTTGCCCTGATAGCTGGATGCAAGTACATTAAATATAGCAGAAGCAGGTGGATCAGATGAGCGGTAATGAGAAACCAGGCAGAGTTAGACAGCTGAAGGGAATGAATCAGTAATAGTGAGTTAGTTTCAGATACTGTTTTCTCTCAGAAAATGTAACACTCTGTGGTGAATGTTATTTAAGAGTGCTGCTGTTTGCTTCCAGTCTGAGGCTGAAAAAGTTTTCTGTATTGTTTCTGCCAGATTCCCCGTAGGTAGTTATAAAACATTTCTGTGAATTTAGGCTGTGCTGGTAGGAAATGAATGTGAAAGTACGCAGCAAATACTTTCTATCATATCACATTGGCATCAAAGGTCACTTGAAACCACCGCTGACTAACTTTGTCAAATGAATCTATCAAAGAGGCATCCTTCTGAGGCAATTGGCCCTCTCAGCTGTCAGCTTAACACTGGATTGGACGTTGATAAGGTGTACTGTTCTGCGACGCACCATTTCAACTTTGTCCCCTCAGACAGACTCCAAAAGTTCTCCTACACACTCAAGCGTATTGATCTGATTGTCTGTTGCATTTTCTCTCCTGTCGGAGAGTTTCATTGAAATTTCATCAGCTGCTCTCTTCTCTGGATAATGACACTGACACCAGACATGGTAAGATCACTGCTTTTCTTATTCAAGAGGAATGTTTGATAAAAGAGAAGCTTAGTTAAACCCTGGTCTGACAGTTTATATTTAATCAAACAAGTGAAGAGTCCCTCAAATAAGAGAGGGGCTAATTAGAAAAAAGATTTGCCTTTGTTAAAGAGAATCAAAAGGCTAAAAAATCATCTAATTATCTTTAGGAAAAGGAGAATTCCCTTTAAATAATTCACTTCTGGTTTCAGGAGTGCAAAGGAATGCACAACTTCAACCTGCTCACCAGCATAGAGGAATCAACTGGATACTATCCATGGACACCTAATGAAGTATGTTCCTTCATCATTCACCACAATTTGCTCCAAACATAACAGCACTTGGGAAAAATATTTGAAACCTCATATTCATTTAATGCCATGATAAAAATTGATACTTTAACTGTGAAGTCCACTGTGAGCACAGGCCATGTCTGACTGCAGAATATTACTGCATCACATCTCGTCTTTTTACTGGTATGCTACCTGCCTTATAATCATATAGGTGAAATCCACCGGCGGCCGTGGATTTCATTTTTATTTAAGGCAATAAAGGGTTTATTTTATTCTTAAACACACAATATATATATATGCTATCGGATTTGAAGTTAAAAATAAAAATCCACTCCAAAACACTGTACAAAGGGGCTCAATTAGAAATGTTGCTCCCTGGTAAGATTTGGATGACTTCAATATAATTTTCAATTCAGTATATTTATAAAGCGCCAATTTACAGACAATTCAACCAGATCATACAGTCAAACTAATTCAAAGTTTTCTATCTAAATTGCATCGACTCATTGATTCCAAGGCAATCCCTCAGACCAAGCATGCCTGTAGCGACAGTGGAGAGGAAAAACTCTTTTAACAGGAAGAAACCTCCAGATTTTAGAATCTACAGAATTTTTGTAACCATCACGAAGTTTCTAAGTGCATTTTAAAAAAACTGGTTTCATCCTTGTCATAACCTCAAATTTTAAGCATAGTCCTGATTTGTCCATCCAACAGGCTAAATGGGGATTTAAGCTGATTTATTCCTTAAGTTATTTTAAGTTAGTTCTCTCTTGTCCCTCTTTGAGCAATCCGAATGGCTGCAAAACTGCCCAACGGATGCCTAACAATGCCTAATATGTAGCTGAATGTTCTTAGGACCAAAAGACTCACATTTATCGTTCTAAGCACAGGCAGTTTGAATAGATTAATCTTTGTCCCCTCTGACCAGATGCCTTTTCATCAGACAATATTTGACAAAGTCAGAGTCAGGCAGGTTTGAGTCTTGGTGGTCTTTTGAAACATCGTAGCCAACTTTGGGGCACATAGTTGAGCTTGGACATAGTTGGGCTATAAAACAGAACAAGGATCCCAAACACAGGAGAAATCATTTCGGCATAGATGAAGTGTGCTTACATTAAATATCTCTGATGCTTTCCTCAGAGTCCTGACTTCAACCCTTTCAGATTTGAAGGGATTATTTGGACCACCGTCGTTTGCAGGAAACCAATGAACTTAAATTAGTGTTATTAAACTAAAACAAACAGACAAAAAAAATTGGTTTGTTGATAAAACATTTCAAAAAAGTTAGAAAAGGTAAAAAAAAAAAAACCACTGGACTTTGTTTCCCAAGTTTGAAGATGTTTCGCTTCCCTGCCAGGAAGATGTTTCAATTCAAAATGTCTTGATTTGTGTTGAGTTCCAAGTTTTATAGAGTAGCCCAAACAAAGCCTTGTTTTGGCTTAAAAAACATGCAAATTGGACCGAAAGAATAGGTCCACCTCTTTGTAATGAGTTGTTGAGGTTGACTATGGCCTGGATGACTGAGAATCTTCACCACCATATTGATAAAACATTGTGTTTTTTTACTTGCTAAAAATAGTAAAATAAATATCATACAGAGTATGAGTATGATCATACCCCTGTCAGGTAGATTTGGAGGTGGATTTATTATAGGCAATAGGAAAATCTCCCCAAAATAAAAGCCAATCCAGAAGTTTTGAAGAAAAAAACAACAACTTCTTATTGCTGTGTTATTTTAAAGGCAAGCTGAACAATATTTCATTTAGTTCATTTAGCATAAATGCTTGTAATGGATGCATTAAAGCATCTGAGTAGCAGTGAAGGTTTCCTTCGCTGATGTGCACTTATCCTCTTTCTTCTCCTCAGTCTCCAAGCCCTCCGGGCAGTGGTGCTGATGACTTCCTAGACACTCTTCTGCATGACTCCTCGGTGCCAGCCTCCCCCCTGTGGTCTCCATGCACCACAGACAATGGTGTTAACGAGGACCCCCTGGTAGAACTTACAGAAAGCCCCCATCCAATCTCCTGCACACTGTTCCCTACCCTTGACACACAGGTTTTTCCTCAGCCCACCAACCTGGAGAATCTACCTGCTGCAAAAGAGAAGGTGCCTGATTTGTCAATGGATTTCGGTAAGGCTAAAAAGCTTAATCTAACCTCACATTAATAATTCTGATGAAAAGTAAATGCTTAGATCGGTATCTTATATAGAACAAAGCCTGATCTTCTGCCCTACTACATTGTGTTCCCAGCATCCTGCACATTCTATCATTCTCTTCTTCTCTGACAGTGTTGCAGCTCACTAAGTTTGCAGGACATCATTAATTCGCAGCTCTCTCCCGCTCCAGCACAGCATTTCAATCACACTGGCATTTAGACCTCCTTCATTCTTTTTATTTTCAGTCAGTCATCTGTAGATTTGCTGCTGTGCATAATTGTATAAATATTTGACAGTTATGCATCGGGGTTTACATAATTATCCTTTGGTCTGCCCCAGTTTGAGTAAAACTTCAGCTGTCAGACAAATGGCCTCCCTTTAAACTTCAGAAAGTCAGGGTATGCAAAGAAATCTACGGTTGACTCACGGACTGCAAAGTAACTATCTGGCCTGTCAGTATGCCGTGCATCGGGTCATATGGTGGTGTAGGTGTTATGGCAAAACAGTTACTTTACAAAACAGTTACAAAGGACATTTTTCCAGAAGAGAGAAGATTATTTTCCCTGATGAATCCTTTTAGGTCTTTTTACAACTGATCTTCCACTATCATCTGCATTAAAACTGTTGCATTTTAATATTTACCCTTCTTCATGAAATATGACTGCATGAATCACTTGCCGATGAAGGACTAATCATTGCATTCAATTAGAAGCAGCACCTGGATTCTTACTCTCTGTCTGCCTGTTAATAAAGAGAGATTATTTTCCGAATTAGCAATATACTGGAAAAGATTGTGAAAGCATTAGAACTCTTGTGTTGCTGCAGGCAAAATGCTTTTTAAACAGATATCACTTTTATTTATACAAGTTGTCTTATTAAGATTCTGTTGAAGAAAGACCTGTTTTGATAAAAACCCAATTAAAAACACAACAATAAAACAATGCAAAGTAAAAGGTTTGACTCAATTTAGATAAGCTAATAAAATTAACTAAGACGTTCCTTGCTTTTCATGATTTTTGTCTGAAGAGGAGGCCTGGTATTGTTTCTTGTGAAGCCCTGGGGTTGACAGTTAGCTCTATATAAACTCTGCCACAGGACAGTGCATTTGGTAGTCTTTGTAGACCTCTCTTCAAATGGAAGAGTTCAAGGATCATGGTTTGGTGTTTATGAATGATTGTAGGATGGAAGAGAAGGAGGTTAGTTGAATCAGGGCTGATGAGGGTGTTGCTCCAGTGTTTCAAAACCAAGAAGGGAAGTTCAACATTTTACCAGTCTTTGTTCCAGTCCCCTCGCCATGAGAAGTGGATCATAAACCAAAAGGAACAGAACTTGTTCAAGAACAAGAACTTTTGTCAAGCCTTAGAGTCGGTGTGAGAAGCTCTGTTAATGGGAGAGCCTTTGAGAGGAGCAGCATCTCCTCTATGGAAGGAATAAAGTATCTAATCAGGAAGCCACTATTGCACCTACTAATGGAGGTTTATTTTAGGAATATTCCACTGTGAGGAGATCCAAAGACAATCTTTGAACATATCTAAAGGGACTAGGTCTATCTCCTCATGTCTGGAAATCCTAAAACGATCTAGAGTCGCTGGGGAGTGTGATGACTGGATTTCCCCCCCTAATCATCCTCCTCCCCCACAGCCCAATGTCAGATAAGCAGGGTGGGTGGGCATTTTCATTTATCTGGTAAAGGTACTTTTTCAAATGCTTTCAGAAATTTTTATTGGAGATAAAAGAAAAATATGTTTTTGTAGGTTAAGATTAGAGGATACGAAGAACCAGAAACATAAGTATGAATGCTGATATTAACTTATAGATAAAGTGTTTATCCAAAGCATGGTTTTATCTTATCCAATCTTGTTCTCTCTCTATTTGCTTGTGCTCGGATCCAAACTTAAAAAGCATGGGATTTTTTATTATTGCTATCGAGATGACAGTCAAACTTATGTCCCATCTTAAAAAGAAAGATGCCCACTCACCGCCTTAATCAAGTGTCTTGATGATATAAAGGCCTGGATATCTCTGAACTTTTAAAATTTTTAATGAAAGAGAGACTTGAAGTGATGGTTCTTGGTGACACCACTGGCATAGATCTGGGCTCTTTGGCCCAACAAACCAGTCATCACTAACCTGGGGGTAAATGTGGATGCTGATATGAAGCTTGATAGCCAGATCAGGACGGTTGTCAAATCAATTTGGGCACCTGGCCAAAATAAAGTCAGTTCTTTCAAGGTAACATTTATTACCACTCTGCTGGATTATTGCACTGCCCTTTATGTGGGGGTTAATGCCTCCTCCATTGAATCATCTGTAGATTGTTCAAAATGCTGCAGTATTAGTACATCTCCCCAATTTTAGCCTCACTCCACTGGCTGCCCATACACTTTAGAATTCATTTAAAACTGCTTTTATTTGCTAAATAGCATCAAGCCAATGCTTGAATGGGCTTGAGAAAGCAGGTTTCCTTATAGACCTACTTGCTCTCTCAGTTCAGCTGGTCAGCTGCTCCTCAGAGACCCTAAAACTAAGCGGAAGTTCAGAGGGGACCTCAAATTTTTTGTTGTTTTTTCTAAGATAGCTTACTTTTAAAACCTAAATTGATCATTTCTAAATTTAAATCTAACTGTTCTGTTGCATCCTTACAGATGAGCTTTAAAACTGGAGGATCAACCTTTGTTAAATATTGTTTTACAGTTTTATAGGATATTCAAATGGCAAATATGTCATACCATAACTGAAAAAAAACCAAAAATTAAATAGTATAATAATCAAAATTTTCTGTCAAAGCTGAAAACATTGCATTATCAGCGGGAGTAAAACCCTGGGAACAAATTGGAGCCTTGACACTGATGAAGATAATTTATCAACCCTGCTGTCTGAGTTTCTGCCCCTGATGTGTGAGAACAGCTTCTTTTGAACTGTGACAAATTCAAACTGTGACAAACCATGTTAACTCAGTGTCTTATCTATCTGATACCTTCGTCTTCCTCAGCTCATCAGCTCTTTTTATGTCTCATCTGCCTGTGGCGCTCCTTATCTCCCCTGCCATACTCTTTCTCTCCCCTGCTTTTAGTCCGGCACGTGAAAACGATGCGACCAAAATATAATTACATCTCAGTGTCTGATTTGAAAATTAGAAGCTGTATTTCTATGGCTTTATCAGGTCATTTAATTTGTTTGGAGAAATATCTTCAAACTGGCCTCGTAGATATAACCGCCTCAGCTTCATGACCTGATTCAGTTGCTGCTGTAGCAACGAGAAAGATCTCCTCCTCCACATCCTCCTTGTTCACATTTTCGAAAGCATGACTTTTTTTCCTTTTCTTTGGAGGAAAAGCTTTTACACGGTCTGAAAATCACTTGACCAGCTAACAGCAGCTGCAGGCTTTTTTTTTTTTGCTTTCTCTTGACATTCTTACCCTTTAAATTTGCTCAAGCCAGACAGTGTGAAGCAGATGTGGTATCTTATTAATGCATAGAGCAACAAAATAAATAAAAAAAGGTCTGACTGTTCTCTATATGTATGTAAACAGATCTATATTTTCCCAATTTTTCTTCTCCTCTTGACAGCACTGTATGTTTTTCCTGTATAGCTTAAAAGTTAGAGTGTTAGCTGTTTGTTGTTTTGTTCCTTTCCTTCAACTAAAGCCAATTTTGTGAGTCGCATTCACCTGTATTTTATTTGTTGCAGGCTGGGAGTCAGAGGGCAGTCATGAAGAGTTTGGTATTACATATTACCTTTCCGACAGCCAAGCCCCACTGCTGCAATCAACCTGCACGCTCACAGTAAAAGACCTGCTTTTATCCAACCTGGGACAGAACGTAAGAAGACTTAAGCATCCATTAGATACACTTGTATTTGTTAAAAAGCTTACACTGCAAAACTAATTAAATCTCAATAAGTCTTTTTGTTTTAAATAAGTGCATTTTTTTTTAAATAAAGGAGGTAAGTGAGGCATTTTACCAATGAAAAAAAGACAATTTACATTTAAGATAAGAAAAAAAAATGTGTTGTCTTATTGTGCATTATTATCTAATTGTCTAATAAAAATGCTCCATTGGCAAATCATCCCATTTACCAGTTCAAATTAAGGCAAAATATACTTCTTTTAAGACATTTTTTAGTTATTTCTCCATTATTTTTGCAGTGCATTGTCTTATTTCAATTGCATACTACAATATGATCCTATTTTAAGAGTAAAAATACTCACTCCATTGACAAATCATCTTATTTACCTACTCATATTAAGGCTAGATACACTTAATATAAGAAATTTGTACTTATTTCTAGATCGTTTTTGCAGTGTATATCAGTATTTTTGTAACTGTTTTTACTAAGCTGTGTTAGTAAATACTAACACAGTACTAACACAGTGTTTATATCCGACCATCAAAACTCAATAAGTATATAGTTAGTTTTCTCACATCCTGTCTGTTTGCTCTCTTTATTATTTTAAAGGGGTCATAGAATGATTCTATAGGGTATATAGTGCTGGTCCTTAAGGTCTCTGTATAGGGTATGTAACATTGGTTGGGCTGAAAATCGCATATTTGCTGTTCTATGAGCCCTAATGCAAGCCTAGTTATAAGCCCTGGAATTAAACAACAGGTTTTCTTCCTTTTATGGTATGCTCATGAATATTTAGATGAGCTGTGCGCTGATTGGTTGGTTTACAACGAGCGAAGCTGCTGAGCAAAGACGCATCATAGCAACAAGCACTCACTGACTGAAACATCAAATTGTTGATATGGTAGTGTGACCACATGTCCTCTTTTTCCCGGACATGTCCTACTTTTCATACCTAAAAAAATGTCTGGGGGGAATTTCAAAATCGTCTGGGATTTTGGTCGACTACAGCCCAGCACAGACTGGACAGGACGGGCATTTGAAACGTGCCATGAGCTCCGGGGCTGGCTTGAGCAACAAACATAATGCTGACACAAACAATACCTGTAATCATCTCCTTAGTTCTAGCTGCGTCATAAACTATGCTGTGTGTCGACTCATTTTGCTGTGGCTTTAGGGTGTTCCTTTCTTAAAAAACAATATTCCAATTATTTCTACAATCTTAAGGATAATTTTTGTTCAGTAAGAAGAAATATGTCCATATTACCAACATTTTGACTGAGTGGTTTCTCCATCATTTTCTATACCAGTATTCCAGCGTATTCTTATTGAGATTTGGAGGGGTTCCTGTTTAAAAAACATTTTGTTTCCCTTGAACAACATGCAGTGTGTTGACTCTGTTAGTGGTGTCTCTTCCTTGTGTAGATGGATAGCATCAAAGTTGTTTTTTGTTTTAAACTGCTCAAGATAAAGATGGATTATGACATATTTATTAAAATTTTCAAGATTTCGTAAACAAATACAGTCAAAACTTTTTGCTTTATTTATAACCACAGACCTCTTGGTCAAATCCGGCTCTCAAACAAGTAGCACACCCTTAAATGAGAATAATTTTATCAGCTCGTATTCACCTTTCATTTCTTCCTCTACCTGGAACTGTTTCTGACAGGCGCAGCGAATCGCTCAGCATTCCTTGCAGGAGCTTGTGCTTAATGAGGATGAGAAGAAGCTTCTAGTTAAAGAGGGCATAAATTTGCCCTGCAAACTACCCCTATCCAAGGTAAATGAGCTGGTAACAGATGTTAGCAGTTCCTATGTAGACAAACACAACCCTTACCAATTTAATTAACTTATTTAGAAATATAAATACGAAGGTTCGGTTAAAAAAACAAACATTTTTCCACCTTCCTAACCTATATTTCTCTAACCTTTCTCTTCTTCATGTCTTTTTCTCCACTTGTCCTTGTTCTAACATCCGTTGTTTCATCTTCATGACAAGTTTGAGGAGAGGATTTTGAAGAAGATCCGGCGGAAAATCCGCAACAAACGTTCGGCTCAAGAAAGCAGAAAAAAGAAGAGAGAATATGTTGACAGTCTGGAAGGGAGGTAAGAAATCAAATGTGCTCAGCATCATAGCCCAATGAGACGGTGTTTCTCATTAGTTTGACCTAGAAAGCGACAATTTTCATTTGTAGTCATTTGTAGCACATCCTGAAACACGCTGTATCGTCATCTTTGATGTATTTCAAAAACCTCAGCAAAGCTTTAGAGAAATATTAACTCAGTTAATATTAATAAACATTAGATTTTTGTTGTTTTTTTAGGATAAGAATCAACAAAGAAAATAAAAAAAAAACAATAACACCTACAGTAATGCTGTCACAGAGGACAGAACCCTTCCTATAATATACAAATATAAATTCATTCAGAGGTGATGTATAAGGTGAAAATTTGTAACACTAAAAAACAGAATTAATTTAACTTTTTTTTTTTACTTTATAAGCATAAACCACCATGTGTATCAAGAAAAATCTGAAAAAGTATTGCATGCATTTGTATTCAGCCTTCCTAGGCACTACATTATTAAACAACCTTTGATGCAAACTGCAAGTCTAAAAGGTACAAATGTTTTTGTAAAACACAGCAATCTAACCTGTAAGACTGTTTTCTTATCTATTTCTAAGGACTGAAAAAACATACAAGTACAAACCTCCTTTTCCTCAATAAGGTCCAATTTTCACGATTCAATAGTAAGAAAGAAACTGAGGGCGAAACCACTATGGACATAAAGGATGGTCTCATGTTCGCTCAAAACAATCTTAATGATCTTTAAGAGTTTTTGGAGAACATTATATGGGCTAACCTGAACGAAAAAAAAGGATGGAGGTGATGTGATGGTCCGGGGCTGCATTGTTGTCTTTGTGTGACGTGTAACGGATGGAACCATAGATTCTGCTCTCTATCAGGAGAACAAAAGTCCAGTCAATCACACATGTGTTATGGAAGTAGGGCAATGATTTAAAGCACAGCAACAAGTTCACTTTTTGAATGGCTAAAGAAAAATAGAGGTTTTGAAGTAGCCCAGTCAGGTTTTAATCGCTTTGTGCTTTGTGATATTAAATCCTCCAACGTGACTGAAATAAAACACGTCTGTAAAAAAGAACTGGGTCAGTGTTCTTCCACAGTGATGGAAAATATTTATAATGATTGTTGTCGCTAACAAGGGCAGCTCAAGCTGGTAGGTTTAGCAGATTTACTTTTCACGCTCAGCGATTGGTGTAACGTGGAAGTTATAATTCTTATGTTTTAGTTGCTGTTTGCGAATATTTTTCAAGATCTGCAATTGTTTTGCCTTAAGATTACAATCAGTACCTTGTTTATTATAAAGAGTTCATCAACTCTGAATAACTCTGGCATAATAAGGCTTATGGATGTCATTCTTGCGCCGTTTAATTCAGAGCGGATACGGGGTTGATGTGTTAGAGCTGTTTTTGTGGAAAATGTATTTAAAAAGACAAATCATTCTGTTAAAAAAAAGCAAAATTGGCAAAATGGGTAACAGTTTGTGTTGAACCATGGTTAATAAATCAAAAAGTATAGCAGATACTGATATGAATGTTTAACTGTGAGAATCAGGAGGATTTGGGGAAATATTATCCCAACTATCATGTCTCTACAAAAGGCTGTGCTAACGATGTCATTTTCTATAAATAAATCAAATGAGGATTTTGTGATTTGAGGCAAAGTTTTTGTATTAGAGAGAAAATTCACAAAACTCCACAATAATATGAACAATTTCCACTAGCACAAGATATGCCAAAATGGAGATGAATATGGAAGAAATGTGCCAGTGATCAGGAACAAATTTATAGTTTTTTTAATCATTTGTGACACCACTGTTATGACTCCTAGGAGCATCTGTAACTCTATTATCCCAAAGACATATTCTCGCTATGATCCATGACAGTGATATAGATCCTGCAGAATAGATACGTGCTAGGCCTTATCCTGAACTGTCATGTCACTGAGTGATAAGAACTGTGGGACATTTTGATATCCGGTACCTCATTCATTTTAGGCTGTAATCTCAGGCAGCATTTAATGTAGCAGAAGGCCAACACTGATCAGCTGAACACAGAGAATATGTGAGAAAAAAAAACTATTGATGTAGCAGAAACATCACAAAGATGCACATCATGTGGTTTGACTGCTTCAAAGAAGCACACGGATCTAAAGTGGATCGGAAATCAAAATAAAAAAAAAAGGGGCATGGAGTTCAATTACAAGCAATATTTCAATCTTTGGACATCTCCAACCACGGCTTAATCCATCCTCCAAAAATAAATGGAACGACAAGCTAGGTAAGGAGATTATTAATCAGAGCAGAAGCCAAGACACCCTGTGGTATAGCTTTGAAAGACCTGCATAGATCATCACAGCTCAGGTGAGAGAATTTGTCAACAGAAACTATTGTTATGACTCAGGAAGAAATTCATAACAAGTCCTGTTTGCAGTTTGCTACTAATCATGAAGGGGACAAAGCACAGGTATAAAAAAGGCACTCAGATCAAATGAAATGAAGTAAAGTAATGCATTTCAGCCTAGAGACAATTTGCTTTGTGCAAATTAAGATTAATGCCACACATATGTAACCAAACAGTCTTTATAGTTAAACGTAGTGGCTGCAGCATCCGAGGATAATTTTTTCTTTAGCATCAAGAAGCTGGTTAGAGTTCCTTGGAAGATACATAAAGCTAAATACAGGGCAATCCTGAGAGAGAAGCTGTTAGAGGCTGAAAAGACCTGCCACCTTATAGCAAATCAGCCCGCCAAGAAACAGTTTTGGGTTGTAGCCTGAAAAAAGAAATGTAGAAATACATGCCTACTTCTGCAAGGCAATACATGATTGAGTTTGTTTGGGGTGAATATTAAGCCCGGGTTTGAAGGTGTTGGTTTATGTGGTCGGTAACCCTGCAGTGTCTTCCTACACCTCTTAGAGTGAGATGTTCAACAATGAAATATAAAAAAAAAAATCATCAACTCAAATCTGTATTGCTGCCGCAGCAATGCTTGAGCAAAACCTGACAAGATGCGCTATGACTCATCAGACGGGTAGAAGCTTTGCTGAGATTAAGCTGAATTCAGGCATTCTCCTCCCTCTCTGTCTCCAGGCTGCAGAGAGCCTTACCTTACAAGCTGCCAGCCTGAAAATTTCTCAGTAAAGATGGAAAGCGTGCCTGCTTCCCACGTGTTGGCACTTTCCCCTTACTTGCTGATCACTGGCACTATCATGGGAGAGGATTATTAAGGCAAGTGCAGCAATCTCTCCAGTTTACCAATTGACATAAGGTTGAGGTTAACTTGGCTGCTGTTTCCAAATCTGCAAACTGATTAATCCCCGAAAAGCGTTATCTGATAAGATATATAAGAGAGTTGTTTAAACACAAATAATAATGCACATTATTTCCTATTATGAGTCAGTTGACCGTTTGAACAGTTCTGTTTTCTTCAATGTTTGATGTCATAAGCAATCTGACTCACAGCGAGGCCTCAATCACATTGTTAGAAGCTTTATTTGTGTTGCTCATGCCTTTTGAAATTCTGTGCAGCAGCTTAAATGGGATGCTATTAACATCTCATTCAGGCCAGCTCTGTTGGATCTTATTAACAAAAGTTTCATGATGGGCTCAGATTGTCAGTGCTATTGAGTGGAGTCAGCGTCTGCTCGTAATTAAACCAGCTTCATGCAGAGCATAACAACAGGCTGTCATTATCAGCTGAGGGTCATAATGGATGGGTTATTCAGAAAACAAATGAGAAAGGAAAAAAACGTGGAGAGGACAGGGATTTGATTTGATGGACTTGAGGATGAATTGTATGATAACAGTCACCAGGAGGATATTTGCAGAAGAGAACACTGTTTTTTGATATATTTTTTGTTTTTCATCTATTGTAAATTTGCAATATCAGTATTATATTGAATATATTGTATTGAATATTAAATGTGTGACATGTTTCCTTAGGATGGCTGCGTGTAGTTCCCAAAACATCGAACTTCAGAGAAAAATCCAGAAGTTGGAAGAGACAAATAAGTGAGTTCTTACATTATTGTGTAAATGCTCCAACTGATTCTTGGATCATTTTTTGTGAACATCAACTCCGGATTAGTGATCCACATTTCAGCAGCACTTTTAATCTGCTGTAGATAAGTTGGTGAAGTACAAACCCAGTATAGAAAAGTGGAAGCGGATTTAAGGTACTTTGAACTTCTTGGTCCCAGATGGGCTGGCGAGTGAATTTCAGAAGCTGTTGATTTCCTGCGATGTTCAGGGACAACCAGCTCTCTGGTTAAAAGGGAATCATCTGTAACAGATAAAATATCCGGGGAGCAGCAGTTGCTTGTGGGGAAAATGTTAGTTTTAATGTGCTGGATCAAATGAGACTGAAAAGATTGGATAAAGATGATAAAAGATAAGAGTAGCTAAAATAACCGTCATTGCAACTTAGATGTAAGAAGTATTATCTCTGTTTGCACAATAATCTCAGCCTTGAAGACAGCTAAAGCAGCAGAAGACCACATTGGGTGTTACAACAAGAAACTGAGGCTTCAGTATACTAAGGCTCAGTACAAAATGGACACGACACATTAGAAAAATGTTACCTGGTCCAATTTAATGTAAATAACGTGGAAACATGGAGCCATTCCTGTCTTATATTGATATGGTGAAGGGGATATTTTCCTGTCACACTTTCACCTCTTATTAGAAATGAGCATCTCTTAAACACAAAAGCTAAGCCAAGCATTGCTGCTGACCATATGCAGTGCTCTCTTACTACATACATTCTGACAGTTTCTTCCAGCAACATAAAGCACAGTGTAACAAGGCCAGTTTAAAACTGCTTCCTTCAATATAACAATAAGTTTACTGTTAATTACTCCAGCGAGCTCCACACTCATCATATCTAAATCCGGTACAGCTCCTTTGGGAGGTGTTTGACACCTTATTGAAGGCTATAAGGAATTAAGACACGTTCAAAGGCCAGCAGAAATCCAATTTGCTACTAGCAGAGTGTACTTAATGAAGTGGTGAGTCTATGCTTTATATTCTACAATCTGGACACAGTTGTTTTGTTTGAGATCGATTGATATGCAAAAATACAGAGGGTAAATATAGTATAAATCCAAGCAGGCCTATCTGGTTTGTTTGAAATTGATTTTTCCGCTAAATAAAGACAAAAATATCGCCCAGGAATGTGTGTTTGTTTATTTCCAGTTTGTTTACTTATTAATGTCAGTCTGAATCTACTTTTTATGACTAAACTGGTCGTTTTTCTTGGTGCTTATGCAGCCCTGTTGTGGAACATGTTAGCCAGTGTTTTTGGTTGATCTATATTCATACAGCCTCAGGCTCTCCCTCTGGGGGTGCTGACAGTCTGGATAAGAATGTTTTCCATGTGTTGTGCCTCTCAGCATATAAAATCTCTTGGATGCATTTATATAATTTAACAGAACTTTATTAGTTTCAGTTGTGCTACCATCCACAATCTAGTGGTGTTGATTCCCTCCTTACTTTGGTGCATCTCTGCCATGAATTGAACAGAAGATGCCAAACACAGACACACACACTCCCCTCCTCCCTTCCCAAAGTGTGCAGTGCTACTTCTTTTTGCTTCAGTTGCCAAAGATCACAGATGCTGAGAAAGTGATGCCCATATTTCATCTGTGGGCCCTTATGTGAAATTTTCACACAGTCTCTTTCATCTCTCCGCCTCTCTTTGTGTTCGCAGTGCACTGCTGGAGCAGCTAAGCCAGCTACAGGCTCTCTTGCCTAATAGCTCCTGCAAAACAACAAATAGAGGAACCTGCATCCTGGTGAGACGTAACCCTAAAATACCTCAGTTTGCACCGTAAAGAAGATCGTTCAGATGCACTGCACCTTTGCAACAACTTAGAACAGATGTAGGCATACTGGGAACATGCTGGATTGATCGAAAAAGGTGTTATGGAAAGTTTTCAGATATTTTCCATCTATGTTTCCCTAGAATATCTAAATTAGTCTGTTTTATTGATTGATTGACACTGAGGATCATCTCTTTGTCTTTTTTATATTTGATCTGATAAGTCTATTTTTATTGTGGTTTTTTTGGTGTATTTGCTGATAGATTTTTTTTTTCTGTCTGTGTGTATCTGAAGGTTTTGCTCCTCTCCTTCTCTCTGCTCCTTTCCCCAAACATTCTGCCAGACCCTTACAGCCAATGCAGCCATGCAGAACATACAGAAAACACAGGTCTGTTGACACAAACCCTCTTTTTTTTTTTTGTCCAACAAGCACACTTTTGCAAAAAAGCACACATGCACTCATCTCCACTATGTCTCTACCTATCAGTGTCGTCGCCCTCCCTGCAGTCGAGGGATGTGGGAGATGTCCATTCTCAACCTCTTCCACTTCCCTCCGTCTCCTGGGGCTTAGAGGACCTGCGAAGCCTGAAGATGAAGCTTTGGTCCTGGATGGACCTCCCACCAGTACACCTCCAGTCTCCTCATCAACAGGGACACAAGACCGGAGATGATTACGGCTCTCGGCGGAGCAGAAACATGTAGCAACAGGAGTGCTGACTTGCTTGCAAGTGCAGCAGAGTGTTCCTTTAGTTGCTTTTTTTCAGCATCTGTATCTGTCTGTAAGGTGGTGCTGCTTCAGCGCACAAACAAATGCTTCTAACCGGGATTTTTTTCATTAAATTATAGTGAGTGAAAAGCTCATCCACAGTGGTGTAAAAAAAGAAAATATCTTCAAGGTCCCTTTTTATGTAAACAAGTATTAACCGAGGATGATCAGTAGCTGTTTCACTCCTTTATTTTATTATGCACTTTAAATACATTTTGTAAAATAAGTTGGGAATGACTTTAACGTGGTCTGTAACATTTCAGTGAAATGATAATAAATGCAGAGAAGATAAACCGTTTTTTTTTTTGTTAATGTGTATATTTTTGTCTAAAATAATTCATGTTCAGTAAAAAGTAAAATGTATTAAATAAGACAAACAGCATTGGAATAAAGTGAAAAGGATCTAAGAAAATAGGAACCCTATAATGATGGTGATGATATTTTCCCAGGTGCCGGTAGGACAACTGGAAAAAAATGGGATGAGTGTCAACATATTTGTGTACATGTTTGTGTGATAATCTAGGACAGAGCATTCAGGTCCTTAGCTACCGATGCAAACACCCTGGAATGCATCAAACAGAAACCATTAACTTATATGATTTTAAGCAGAATTTTAGGTGACAGACCAATATAAATGGTTCATAGCGACTGTAGTGACAATCGCATCTCTTCCACCTGTTCATATTTAGACACAAATTATTTTGTTTGTACTCTCCTCACCTGCTAGATTTAGCTCAAGATTTTTACTTGACTTTTCCAACAAACAAAAAGGTTCTAAGCTAACTTATTCCCTTATATCGATGGTTTTATTTTTAAGGTTCTCCTGTAGTGTGCTGTGAACCTTCTAGTTTGAACTATTTTTTGGTGCCTCTAGCAGGTTTCTTCAAACCATCACCCTGTATTTAGCTCTAGCCATCTTTTCCCGGCTGCGGATAAAGCATCCCCACAGCATGACACTATTACCACCATGTTTTACTGTAGAGATTTGTGTTCCTTAGGTTGATGTGAAGTGTTTTCTATTAAACATAGCATTTGCATATTGTCTTATCTGATGAGAGCACTTCTTCCACGTGTTTTTTGTTTCCACTGCACAAGTTGTGAACTTTTTGTGTCTTTCTTTTTGCCTGTGTTTCTTGGTCTTATTTGTTCACTGATGTTCTCCAAAAATCTATAACAGCTCCAAAAATTAAATAACAGCTGGATTTGTACTGAAATTACATTATAAACAGTTGGACTCCTGATGGGAGAGCAGAAACACTAACATGTAACACCTATTCGATATTCCCTCAACTGGCTCTCCATCACAGCCAGAACGGAGCCGTTGTATCTTACCAGTGCAGCCGTGGAATGCTCTACCCTATCTAAAGCCTCAGCATGTTTCCAACCCTATCATTCTGCAGAGATCAGGCTTTTGCTGGAACCATTCTTCCAGAAAACAGGATCTTAAAACATTTCTTTTTAACCAAAAGTATGTATTTTGCAGCAAATGTATTTATTGTTTTATGCTACTTTTTCAATGGGTGTGTTGAACTTTCAAATCTTTCATAAAAATGTCTCATACATAATAAATTAAATCAAGTATTACTGCAAAAATTCAGGCATTTTTTTGCACTACATTTCTTTAGAATTTCTGAAGCATGACACACTTTTCTGAGCTCTATGTTGCATAAATCTTTGAAATAATTTTCCTTCCACCTTATAACCATGGACTTCCTGGGGTTGTAAGATTACATAAATCCTCCCAAGAATACACTGGATTATGTGTTTGAGGACTTTCTTTACCTTCTTTGCCAACGTTTATGCAGAGAAAGACAGCAGTTTCTTGCAGAGTCTGTATCAACAAAACATTAAAAAGAGTTTAAGGACATGCAGCATGTTCGAGCACCGAATGTCAATGGCATCAGCTGTCAGCGAAAACATCCATTCTCCCAGTTATTATCTGGAGTGGGCTCTCTGTGTCCATGTGCATGCTACGCAATAGGGATCAGATTTAGGAGTTTTTGCAGCATCTGCTCCAAACTAAATAGTAAAACTTCAACTTTCCAATGTTCCCTCTTTAGTATTGTTTTGTTCTCTGGTCATTTTAGATGATGTTGCCCTAAGTGAATTGTTTGATCAGGTTAGCTTGAGACATCTAGAGAGTGTAAAGTCACACATGTTTTGTAAACAGCTTATAATGATATCTTTTGTTAATACAATCCACAACAGCCTTGAGTGTGAAATTAATTATTGATCACATATCTCCAAATCATAAGTTTCTGTGTATAAATAGAGAGTTCATCTGTATTGGTTTAGAGCTGAGATGCTGCAACCTATTTGAAAAAAAGAAGTCACAGCTGAAGTTAGATAAATCTTGGTAATAATTTGGAAGCTTTTGACCATCTTGAGATTTTTTGAGCTTTCAAATAAATTGACTCAAAAATGTCTCAAAATTTATAAAACCAACTTGTAAATAATTCCACCTTAGTACTGTCAAACTTTTAAATTGTGAGTGTTTTGATAAAAAAAAAAAAAAGTGAGCTATATGAATTTTCATATCAGGATTCCTGTATATTTTGATTACTTTAAATAAGAGTGAGTATCCTTTGTGACAACTTCTTTGATATGTAATGTCATTTTTTTTTGCCTAACTTTGCCAGAGTGCTGGAAAGGTGAGTCCTGCTGATTGTTGAACCTCCTTCAGGAGGAGCAGTGTGGTTTCCATCCATCTGTGGAACATTGGACCAGCTCTGCACTCTCTGCAGGGAATTCAATATTTCATAGAGGTTTGTGCAATCAGTCCAAATGTGTTTTGTAGACCTGAAGAACACATTCAACCTTGTCCCTCATAGTGCCCGGTGGGAGAGCTCCAGGAGTAGGTACTCGGAGGCTCTTTACTAGGGGCTATCTGGCTATCTGGTCCTGTTAACAACCTTCGTTTAAAGGATTTCAAGGTGAAGCTAGAAATCAGAGGGCTGGAGGGGTTCTGATTTAGGGACCAGTGGATTTCCTCCCCTCTTCTTGTCGATGATGTGGCCCTGCTGGTCCCTCCTGGCATTCATATATATACATATATATATTTTTAAAATAAAATGTTCAAAGTTAAAGTAGAAGAATTTCAAAAGGTTATCCGTAAAATGCTTACAAAGACATTTTTAACACAACATTCTTTGTTGAATGTTAATTTTCATATGAAGTAAGAGGTAGAAAGTCCAATAGAATCATGCTTAAAATGAAACATTCAGCTTTCTCTACTTTTTTAGTGCCCACATCCTTCAGCTTATTCTAAATAAGTGATAAACATGCAGAAACAATTAAATTATGAATGTAATTTTTTTTCTTCCATATTTGAATTTGCCATTATTATGAGCTTTTGTCAGAATGTGCTCAACCAAGCAAGAAAACTGATAAGTGCTAGCTGTTAGGATCTTTGCAAGACAGCCATTTACACTGTCTGATCTATACAGAGAAAAGCAGTTTAAATAACAGCCTTTTAACAAGAAAGAGCATTTGCTTTACCATGACAGAAAAGCTGTGTTTAAACCTTAAGCAACCACATTCACAAACAAAATGAAATTTATCTAGCGTTTTATTTTTCCTCGATCAGAGCAGAAATATAATGAGGTGAGAGAGAGGCGCTCACTTTGAGATTCCTCCCCATCTCCACTATTTAATTGCCTGTAAGACTCTGACGAAAATGAAAGTCGACACTTTTAAGCACCTTAAACAGCTTCTGCAGAATGTAAATGAACCGCTCCACAGGAAGAAAAACTGTCAGCCTCCAACTGCATGTGATTGTGCTTGGTAAATATACAAAGAAAGCAAAAGACATATTTTTCCTAGAAATGTGTCCAATTACTTTAGGAGGAAAGGAACGCTTATTTAACATCAGCACAAGTTAGTTTGGAAGCCTCTGGTATTTGTGAGAGATTGGTATGATTAAACTGTTAGAAAATGATTAAACTTCAATTTGTCAATAGGTTTAAAATCTCTTATTGAAAAAAAAAATAACTAGGAGGCAAATGGTAACTGGAGGAGTTGCAGAGGTCGGCAGCTGTTTTGGGAAAATTTGTTGATCAAAACAGTCCAAACCGCACTCAGATTGCACAGTTACCCCATTTGCCGCATCACCCTCAAGAGATGAACCAATCAATGATTTCACTAATAATAGAATTGTGGCCACCCTAACCATTTTTTCCCTGTAATACTGATGGTGGCAGCGGTAATACTCCCAAATGGAATGTTTTAACTTATTTAACTTTTTAATTTTCTATATGTAAACAATTGCCTGACAACAAAAACACTGTGGTTAATTACGCACATAAATATACGAACATTAAAGATGATAAATACAGAATTCATGCTCTTTTCAGAACTAGATTTTGTCTTTTATTGGGTAAAGAGAAAATTATGTCATGCAAGTTATCTAGGACTCTTCACTGAAATCAGAGATAAATAACTATTGTAATAACAAGTAATCCATTTAATATAGATATTAGAACATATAAATATTAGTTTTATGAAGAATGATTGTTAATAAAAGTAGGTAAGTAATGACAAAGGAAAAGATGTTCACCCCAGAACTCAAAACTGAAAGAATTTTGTCCTCTACACCTTTAATTTAGACAGCATGGAAGTTTAAATATATGTGTCTATTTGTTAGCAAATGCTGTAGGAAAGTGTAGTTTGTCTTTATGTGGAAAATATGGATGTTTTGATTGTTCATTTTCCTTTTGGAAAAGATTGACCCTGAGGCTCTGGCACCATATCCACTTTTGGCCACCCTTCAGTGTACATTGGTTATTGCCTGGCCACCCTTGTTTGCCAGGTGTGTTAAAAAGAAATCTAACATTCCTCTTAATATTACTATTATTATTATTTAAACTGACATGAAGATTTTAGCCAATAGAAAGTATTTTGCTACAGTGGATATTTGTCTAATAAAACGTGTAATTTTCCTTATATACTCAGAAAGATGCACAACTTTTGCTGTTAGGTAATATTTAACTTAGCTACAAAAAAAATAGAAAAGAGACAGACAAAAAAAGTCAAAATAAACTAAATAAACAATTTTGATCTCGAAGCTCAAATTAAATAAAAATAACGCTAAATCCTACAAATATGAAACTGATGACACTTTTCTTCTTGATGATAATAATAGTTATCATTGATGGATGAACAGTGCGCACCCACAGTGCGCCGTCAGGCGGCGGGATGAGAGCCTATCGAGTATAAAAGCATCCAGTCCAGTTCTGCGCTCACATTCTCAGGATGAAGATGCTGACGAACCGTAACAGAATAGATTGATGTTTTTCTTTTTTAACATTTCCCCTTTATTATATTCAAAAATATACATTTTTGCTTCAAGTTTCCATTTGAATCACTGTGAGAAGAGAACGCGGTGCGCACTTTGGACTTTGAGCACCAAACGCAGGAGGAGGAAGATGGGGAGTTTTGTCTCCATATTTGTGCACCCTCAGTGCGGAGGATAGTTTGGCACATGAGGAAAAGCTAGGGACCTTTATCTCTACAAAAAGAAAAAAAAAAAAAAAAAAGTGCGCCTTTATTTCTCTGCACAAGCATGCAGAGCAACATCAGCTCCCCCGGACCCCCCACTGGACTGAGCGCGTGCGGAGGGCAGGAGGAGGAAATATCGGAGCTGGTCAGCCCTACAGGAGTAGGGTCCAACCTACCAGTTTTCAATCTCTCACTCAACTGCTGGCTTCACATCCTCTCCAAGGAGTCCTCCCTGGATCAGCATGGAGACAGCGCAAACCTGCCAGTAGGTCTTCTCACCTTCATTTCTCATCACAAGATGGATGCAGAGAATGTGCACAAATCATCTGAGTGTTTGTATGGCCAAGGTTTTTTTTTTTTCTTTTTTGGAGGGGTGGGGGAGTTGGGGAGTTTACAAGCTTAAATTATAATTTGTGTCTGACAGGTGCGAGTCCTCATTGCCATGGTCTACCTGGTGGTGTGCGTCCTGGGGCTGGTGGGGAACCTCTTGGCTCTCTTTCTTCTCCACTCCCGCCGCCGGGGCCACCACCACTCCGCCATCGACTGCTTCGTGATGAGTCTGACCATCACTGACCTCCAGTTCGTCCTGACCTTACCATTCTGGGCTGTGGACACAGTGCTGGACTTCCGCTGGCCGTTTGGTCGGGTCATGTGTAAGATTGTGAGCTCTGTCACCACCATGAACATGTATGCCAGTGTTTTCTTCCTCACGGCAATGAGTGTGACCCGGTATCACTCCCTGGTTACTTCCCTGAAGATGAGCAGCCCAAGGATCGCCATGACTCGGGCCAAGTGGGTCAGTTCGGCCATTTGGGTGGTGTCTCTTGTGGCAACGCTGCCCCACGCTTTCTACTCCACCACCGTTCAGGTTGGTGCACTTGCTTCTCAACAGGGATGCACCGATCAAAGATTTTGTGGAAAATTGCAGTTCCCCTTCTTTTTTCAGATTAAGACTTTTCTTTATTAAATACAAAGACCAATGAAATATCTTATGAAATTTATTTGAATAAAATGAACTTTCTTCTGTAATTAAATATTCATTGGATAAAAGTAAGTTCTTAAAAAAGCACAAGGCTACAAAGCAGTCTCTAGAGTAATGGAAATATGGGCCTACATTACTGTAGCAACCTGCAGGTTATGGCACAAAGGGTATGTGTACCAAAAACAAGGACATAACTCATTTAGTCCTTTGCAAGTGGCGTTCATCCCCCTTGAGAGAAAAAAACCTTCGATTTCCAGTAATGTCTTAAATTGTGAAATCCTTCATTCATTTATTAAAAGTATAGAAGAGCCTTAAGCAGACTTTTCTATTATAGACGATCATTACTCATTCATACTGGATCCAGAGGAGACATACTGTGTGTTTAAAAGAGAGCTTTCTGTGTTACACAGTGCTGCAGGATTT